TCTCTCTCTCTCTCTCTCTCTTCTCTCTCTCTCTGTCTCTCTCTGTCGCTTTTTTCTGAGAGACTTTCCGCGCCGAGGCTCCGCGGACAAGGCGATCGCGATAGGCGGCCGGCCGGATGGAGGAATGGTAAAATATGCAGGCAAGCTTTGCACTGCCGTGCTCGAGCTCTCTGCGCTACGTGAATGGGCGGCCTTTTTTTCGAGAGATAGAGACGTGAATTTTTATTGTTTCGCGGGAGACGGTTTGAAGATCGTTAAGGAGATTTTGGTTTTCGCGGGAGGGATGAATGAGATGATTGATCGTATGGCTATTGGTGAATGGTTTCGCTGAATGGGGTGATGGTCGGGGGCCAAGGTTTTGGAGTTTTATCGATTTCTCGTCGCGGCTTGTTTGTCTCAACAATGTTTTGAAACGCACGTTCAATTCTTTTCGAAATTTACATTATTCCAAGTAGAAGGGGAAAGAGTTGAATCGATTAAGAACTTATGAAGTGTCTCTTCGATTATTCCATGTAAATATAAAATTATCCTATCGATGAATCACATTCTTCGAAATATCCGTCGAACAAATAACCCGATTCCGAAGAAATCACCAAGTTGCATTCATTTTCAATTGGACGCATCAATGAATTCTCGTATCATTTCCGCGTAAACAACCATACGTTGCGTTGCGATCCTCGTTAAAAACCGGCGCCCAGAAATTTATCGCGAGCGATCATCAAGCATCGAGTTCGTTTTTCGCGTCGGATGCATAATTGTAAAAACGTGGGGGGGGGGGGAGGGGAAGGACGGAGGGTGGTAAAAAGCGCGAATCCGCGGGATAACGCGCGCGACGATTTTAAACGAACGACGTTAATCCGTTCTGCAAACCGCGTTACGCGATCGCGTACTCGCGCCGATTTTATTATGTGAACGCGTTCATAGTTAAACGCTTGTAAATTTCTGTAATGCGGGGAGGGGGAGGAGGGTTGGAGGCGCGCGCACGCCGCGCTCTCGCGTCGAAAAGTTGCGAATAACCGTTTTTATATTTACACGGTAATCCGGCGATAAATTCGCCACTCCTTTCGCGCTGGTTCATCGCGGTATCGGGCGCGAGTTATTTTAAATTTTAATTTCGTGGACCGGGTCCACTCGCGGCGAGAGAGAGAGAGAGAGAGAGAATGGCGCATTGTAAATCCGTCGCCGATTTTTCATTAAGCTTTAAGCTCGGTTAACGCGACCGAACGGTCGCGTTAAAAATCGTGTCTTTATCGCGTTGAATTTTTGTTTCTTTTTTCTTCTTTTTCTTTTCTTTTTTTCTTTTTTCTATAGATTTTTAATTTTGACGCGGAGAAGAGAAGGGAGAGAAGAGGCAGAGAGTGTATATTTATTCGATTGCTGCGAAATAATTTCGATGGAGAGAAGGGAGAATAAAAAGGGAGAATGTATAAGGGTGATTAAAATACTTGGGAGGCTCGTGTTGCGCAGCTTGGATCGCGGTTGTTACGAAGTTATCTTTCGTCAGAATCAATTGGCCGCTTTCTTCTTCGTATTATAAAGCGTTCCTTTGAAACGCCTCGTGGATCCATTTGATCCTCCCCCCCGTAATCATCCTCGAGGATAATAGAAGAAATTATTTAAAGCGAAGAAAAATAAAGCTTAAACATTCACAGAGAAACATTTATTTATCGTAACAATCGAAACTTCCTTTGAAACGCGATTTACAATTTAATCGAACGATCAACGGGGACAATAAACGTTACATAGTGTATAAACATATCTACTTTATCTACTTCGTCTCTCAATTCCAGGCGAAAAATGAAAAAAAAAAAAAAAAAAAGAAAAAAAGTCGAATAAACATCAACCTGCTCTTGTGAACACATGTTCAAAAACTTGCAATAACCGCCACTTGGAACTCCTTCCCCTTTCCCTCCACCCTGCGCAGGTAACACGCCTCGATACACCGGGCCGACAAGTCGACCTTTAAAGATTCAATGGCCGAGCTATCTGCCGGCTTTTGTACGTATCCCGCACACGAGTGCTCGCAACACAGCGACCCAACGTTGCGCTGGAAAAAAAGGGTTGAAAGGGTAGCGATAAGGGAGGAGGATAGCCGGAGTGCTCGATCCGCGAAAGAAGAAAAGAGGAAAGGTTTGGTGGGGGTGGCCGAGGCAGGTGGGGTGAGATTCGGGCGGGGGTGGCAGTCGTGCATTGTATCGCGAGTTTTTTCGAGCGAGGCTGCTCCGGGGACGACGCCACGGCCGTGCTGGCGGAGGGTGTTTCGAGAGAGTGGGCGAGGGTGTACGGAGGGGGATGGAGAACGAGCCGGGAGGGGTGAGTCGGTCGGTCTGGTGGGCGAACGTCTGTCTGTTGGCTGCCAGCGAGCCAGTCAATCATTACGGGCTGCGCAAGCGCCCGCGACCCATCTTCGCTCTCCTCCAACCATCCTTTTCGCCCTTCAATCCCCTCACGACTCCCTCTTTCCAACCCAAGCTCCTCGACCGAGCGCGTCTCGCTTCTCCTTCGACTCGCCTCTCTCTCTCTCTCTTTCTCTCTCTCTCTTCTCTCGTTCCGTTCGACTCGTCCCTCTCTGTCGCCTTCTCCCGTTCATCCCCTTCGTTTCCCTCAGTAGCGAGTTCACCCCGTTGCGCCACAAGCACGCTACAATGCTGCCCGCCGCCGCCGCCCATCCTGCATATTTAAGCGAGCTGTCTTGCCATCCAGCCACCCGTACACCGACCGACGACCGTTCTCCACCATCGCCGACCGCGGGTTCCGTGTATATATGCGTATGCAGAGAAGAATCGCTTTGGTAAACGGATCTTACCGCCTACCCTTAACGCCCCGTGGAATTAAATGTTCGATCAAAGAGACATTACTTATATCATACACTTCGAAAATTAAATTACTTCTTCTCGAAGCAAACAGAAGAACGTATATAAAAGAAAAGGGATACGAATCTATCTCCGTCCGATATGAAAAATCATGAAATTATAAAACTAATTTATTTATTAATATCGCAAAACCAATCGATCGCGAATCGATTGCCTTTCCAATTTCGCTCGCTCGCTCGAGAGAAAACTAAACTCGTTCCGCGCAAAAGCTACGCGTCCTGAGGCGCCCCCATCGGCGAGGGTGGCGAAACGAGGAACCGTGGCGGATCTCCCCGTGGGCATGCGCCGCGCGGGTGTCCGCGGGGGTGGGTGTCGGCGAAAGGGTGGTAGCCGGGCGGCTGAGTGGTGGTGGAAGCCCGGGGGTTGCGTTGTGCCGGCGGGGTGGTAGTCGCGCAAAACCGGAGGGTCGCCCACGGCTCCGCTCGGCTCGTTCACTCGCTCGTGCTCGCTCGCTCGCTTACGCCGCTGCCGGCTGGCCGGGGGTGTTTCCATGGATACGGCGCTCGCGCCTTGACATTGACAAATGGCTGACCGAGGGTGAGCCGAACACAGCGCCGCTTTTACATATGCAGGGACACCCATTTGTCCGCGCGGGGGTGGGATGGGGTGGGAAGCGGACGGTGGAGAAAGAAGGGGGAGTGGAAGGGGTGGCGACGACGACCGCCGGCCACGACCGTCGTGTCGCTCGCGATATCCTAGCTCGATTCTCCCTTTTTCTTCGATCATCTGCCGATTAATCTCGATCGATCTCGTCGAAACTCGAAACGAAAATGTTTATGACAATCGTGATCCAACGCGTGAACGTACCACTGGTGGCCTATTTTGGATTTGAATTGTTATCCATTTGAAATGACGAGAGCGTGAAATGATTTAATTGTTTGATCTTTTTGACGCAGCATCCGTCGAGAACTTTGATGCGAAGGAAGGGGAAGGAAGATCTTTTGTTACGATGAATTGGAAGATGCGAGAGAGTAATGAATTTGAGGGGATGAATTTAATCTTGAAATGGTCGGCTGACGACTAGTCGTGCTCGTGCGAATCGAATTTGTTACCTCGTTATTTCTCGAGAAACGCGAGCGAGGATATTCGCTTTGTACTCGTCGATGGAGACTTTTCACAAAGGAGTAGCGCGCGCGCGTCGAGGACTTTGATGAAATTATATCTTCTATTTCATCGAATAGTCTGATTTATTCGAGGCGTATTGTGAAGTAGATGTGAAATTTTAATGCGTGTAATGTCCGCTCGACCCCAGGGGATCGTCGAAAGAGAAGAATGGAAGAATTGATGTTTATTGAAGGACGAATAAAACCGTCCATTGTTTCGCGCTTTCGGCTCTTCGGAAGGCGAACGCTGAAAAATAACGGCGTGAAAGCGAGAATATGCTCACCGATGAATATGCTGACTGAGTGGGAACGTCGGTTTAAGAGATGAACGTGTAGCTGGCTCTCGTTAATCCGATCCGTTTCGAAATGAAAGTTCTCGAGTTGTCGGTAATTTTTTTATCAGGAAAATAATGGAAAACGTATTTTCCAAGAATATTTCTTTTCTACTCTCACCTTTCGTTGTTACGAAATAAGACAAAGTTCTTGTTTGTTTCTTGAAAAATTTAACATAGAACGTCGTACTTTTTAAGTCGTATATACTATATATATATATATATATATATACATTATACATGATATCGTATGAGAATGCTGTTTTTTCAGGAACAAGAGGAGGACTTCTTGACTTGCACGGGCAACTGGGCAGAGGAAAACAACATCCTAATCGCGTCCCAGGAGAGAAAACGATACCAGCCCCTTAGCATCGCTCCCTAATAATGACCCTCGAGCTCGTACGGCATAAACGGCCGCCTATCGCGCATTACTACCCCGAAGTGGCCACTCCCTTCTGGCAGGCCAGTCTCGAGTCTAATATCTCATTACTGCGCCACCAGTCAGCCGTGCCGTGCTGCCATTACGAGATTGTTTGCTCGCGGGGCCTCTCGTCTAATGTATTGCCGACTTCCTAACGCCGTTCAACCGTGTCTCTGACGAGAGAAGTAGCCTGTGTTTCGTACGACAAACTTTCCAACGCGTTCAAGCGTCCGCGATAATCAACCCTCCCTTCGAGAAGAAGAAAATTGCTGTCTGGCAATTTCCTCCCTCGAATGTATTTATAACGAAACGAGATTTATATCCGAATTAAAATTATTCCCTTTTTCCCAATCTTCGAAGTTTCGCGCGTCTCCCCCTACCACTGATCGCTCAGACTTCCACTGGTCGCGCTACTACCATTACTCGAGCCACGGTTCGCTCGAAACCACCCACGCGTTACTTCGATCCGCCTCGATGGTCTCGACCAACCCCCGCGGTAGGATGGAAAAGAAAAGAAGGAAAAAAAAAAAAAAACAATCGACGCAGCGAAACGAACTGTCGCGACGAAGAAGGGAGGGATGGGAAGAAAGGGGATATCCTGGCGAGGGGATATCAACGATTTGTCTCGTTATAAGGTGGAAAACGTCGACGACAGAGAGTCGAGTCGGCGTTTTCACGTCGCTGACGCCCGCCAAAAAGCATCGACGGCAGCGAAAATAATTGGTGCCTTCCCCTTGATTCCCGACACTCGCGTAACAAGGTCCATTTCCATGGAATAACCATCAACGGTAATTGGCACCTACGTGGTGGATACGCGGCCCCCTATCATATTTCAGAACCGGGCTATATATATATATATATATATACGTAAGAGGGGTGTGGGTGGAGGTGTGGAGGGGGTTGAGGAGGAGCAGGGACCACCAGGGTCCAGGGGATGCGAACGTGGATCGCGAACGTGTGTTTTATACCATCGACGGCACCCTTTCGTTTTTTCAGTCTGACCGAGGGACGACCTTTGCCGGATAACAAAGCGGACCCATCGACAGCTCGCTAACGACTATTCGTCTACCTTGTCGTGCCAGGAGTCGAATCGTTTCGAATCGTGGAATCCAGGCATGGTGGAATCTCGCATTAATTGGTTCGCGAGACACGGGAACAGGCGAAAGTCAACCGGACGAAACTTTTTGATTTTTCACGATGCGAGAAACGTGAACGCGAAGGGGCGATCGATTGTTGGCCATACACAAGGATTCAAAGTTTCGAGATGGTGGAAGGGAAGATTAGGAATAGGTTTGAGATTCGGTGACCTATATTTTTCGAGAAAAAGCGTATTGAAAGCTCTTTTTCCAAGAAACGCGACTCTCGCTTCAACGAGTGAGTGAGTGAGTTTGGAATAGATCGGTGAAACGAAGCGCGAGGGAAATAGTTTGAATAATAGCAAGGAAGGAGATTAGTAAACGATCACTAAAAATTAATTTTTTCTTTACACGGTTTTCTTTATCTCGGAAAGTGAAAGTCGTGTCGAGATGGAAAAAAAGCATTTTAGCAAAGAGTAAGCTTCTAATAATTTAATAATTTTCTTAATTTTTAATAGGATTTTTAATCGAGTTTTTAAAATAAATTACGCGGAAGTATTTATCCGATGTATTCTAATGAGATTTGAAAAAGCCTTTCGATTAAAATAATTTAGATTTTTATTTGATAGATTGATTCGAATTTGATTATATTATTTGATTAACGAAGCGGATTTTATGGATTTCGTAATTTTCGAGCATCAGCAATTATATAAAATATGCAAAAATATGCAAACATTATGAAAAATAAATGCATTCGCGTGAAAATCGCAGTCTAATAATAAAACTTACCTGCCTCGAGAGAAAGGAAGGTGAATTCTCAAAGGCTGTCGAAGTTAAAATACCCAGTGTAAAGTTGATTTTGCTTCTGTACAAATAATGAGAACTCGGCTATTTCTGAGAATAATGTGGAAGAATTCCACTGCGAAGGAATTGGATGTGAAGGTTTCATCGAATCCGGTGCAATTCGTTTCGAACAATAGCGGTTTCAATTTGGTTGAAATTACGAAATAGAATTAAACGAAAATTCCCATTTCAAATGTAATCGGTCTCGAGGCATCTCGAATCGGTTTTCGAAAGCGCAGAATTAACCGAGTTTCCGTAAATTTCTCGTAGGATGGGACGTAAGGAGGTGGAGTGCATGGGTTTGTCATCTCGCGATAAAACGCGACGCGCGCGTGATGCTCCAACAAAATCGAAGGACGATTTCTCTTTCGCGAGATCACCACCTTTCGTGAAAAAAGAAAGAAAGAAAGAAAGAAAGGAAGGAAAAAAAAACTTCATTTTCACGTCGAGCATCACTCGAGCGTCCACGCGTTTCCACGCGAGCTGATTCAAGAAATAAGAAATGATACACAAGAGGGCGTACACAAGATGTAGCATTTAATGCTCACGTTTCAAAAAAACACTATACAATGGACACTCTCTAACATAGACCACCTTTGACATCGTCCTTCCTTTCATCGTCATCACGTTGCGATCCGTGAGTGTTTTGAACACAATCGATCCGGGCCAATTTTCACGCGATTGATCGACTCTGTTCCCTCTTATATACGCCCGAGACGCCTGCGATACGCCTCTCACGCAAAGCCGGGGACGCGTGTACGCGCGTGTCCAGACACATTTTCTCTGTTAACGGATGGACGCGTGTGTGCACGTAATCCCACGTTACGTTAATACTAATATTTTACATCGACAGGTATCAGTTTCCGTTCACTGTGTTTTTCTTCCGTTTCTTTTTTCCCCTTTTTTCTTTTTTCGTTCGTTCTCTCTCTCTCTCTCTCTCTCTTCTCTCTTTTCTTTTTTTTGCTCGCCCTGTCCCATCGCTTCCATCCGCGTCGTCTCTCTCCAGAGGCGAGAATATTACGTGGATCGACGCGGGGGATCAAAACGAACATCCTCGCCCCCCCAACCGATCTTCTCGAGGGGTCGAAGGAGGAACGAACCCCCGTGCACGCGTATAATTTCCGCGTCGTCGCGTTATCACAATCATTGTGGAACAACGATCGAAGAAACGGTTGTTTTGTTCGACCGATTTTCACTGAAAACACACAGAACACAACGGTTCGATTCGATATATTTCATACTTAATTTTTTCTTTTTTCCGTTTCTCTCTTTTTTTCTTTTTATGATTCCTGTAATTTATTCGCCGTTCCTCCTTGTTCTTTTCTTTATTCCCCCCCTTTTTTTCCCTCTCTTTATATCTTCCTTTTTATCTCGCTTATTTTTTTTTTTTTTTTTTTTTTTACTTAAAGGGTGTCAATAGGTCGTCAATACGCAAACAGTTGAAAAAATCTGATTCCATACCGATATAATAATTTTTAGCTTACTATACACATCATCGTCACCATCAGCATAATCATAATCATCATCGTATATCATCATCATCATCATCATCATTATCAGCAGCAGCATCGTATCGTGGTTATCAGCTATCGTCATCTGCGTTATCGTAATCGTTTTCACCACTCGATGATCGTAATGACGATGGTCCGCGATCTTCAAGCGGCCAACAAACACGTCTCCATATATATATTATCGCCTCTCGTCATTACGATCATAGCCGCCAACGCAGGCGACGTGATTGCTAACATTCTTCCCGTAATTATACACGATAATTATACATTACTTTCCCATTTTTCTGCCTTCTCTCTCTCTCTCTCTCTCTCTCTCTTTCTCTCGCTCTCTCTCTCTCTCTTTCTCTCGCTCTTTGTTCCACTCGCTCTTCACTTCACGTTTTTCATTCGATCGCATCTCGATTACGCCGCGTCGTTGCACTATCACTCTCACTCTCTCATCCTCTCTTTCTCCCTCTCTCTCTCTCACACACACACGCACACACGCACACGCGCACGCGCACTCTTTCACTCTCTCGTTGCCCCATAGCCGCTCTCTCGTCGTCGCTCATAAAATCTTGTTTTTTAAGTTCTTTACCCTCTAATATGATTATTACTTAGATACCTTACTGTTACTTCGTATACATTTTTAAGGCGATGATTCATTCAATCGGGTGAACTCATTTAGAAAAACGAACAGCCAATAAAACGTACGCCGCCATCTTCACATCACTCTCTTTCTTCGTAAACCGCCGGAAACCGCTGTACTCCCTTTTTTTTTCCTCTTCCTCTTCCTTCCTCTCTCTCTCTCTCTCTCTCTCTCC